TTAGATGGACTAAAACCACTATGTGGGTCTCCCATCCTGCACTGCAGCGTTTGTCTTTCTCAAAGCCAGAGTTAGACTTCTCAAATCATTTTCTGATTTAAAGATCCATTTTTTGAAGCATTGCCCATAGTACAAAAGCACTTGTATTTACCTCTAGGCATCATTTGAAAATACTGTCTTGGAGATATTTATGCATTTTCCAAAGTTTGATGATGCTTGGTATTTTGGATTTGTTATTTGGCAGTAGATATTTGCATAATATTTATAATTAGGCAACTATGACATTTAAAAAGATAAAGAATGGCTGGGCACGAGGCTCATCCCTGTAATCCCAGTACTTTGGGAAGCCAAGGCAGGCAGATTACTTGAGGTCAGGAGTTTGACACCATCCTGGACAACATGGTGAAACCCTGTCTCTACTAAAAACAAAAAACAAACAACAACAATGACAACAAAATAGCTGGGTGTGGTGGTGAGTGCCTGTAATCCCAGCCACTAAGGAGGCTGAGGCAGGAGAATCGCTTGAACCCAGGAGGCGGTGGTTGTAGTGAGCTGAGATCATGCCACTGCACTCCAGCCTGGATGACAGAGCAAGACCCTGTCTCTAAATAAATAAATAATAAAAAAATTAAAAGAAGACTTTCTCTACAAGGTTTTTGAATAAAGAAATAATCCAGAAGTATAAATGTGCTCTGCTTTACCCTTTCGTATTGCAGTTCTTGATAGAAAGTTCCTTCATCTACTTTTGAGGTTTAGTTCTGCTGCCTGGTTTGCTGCCAGTCTAGTGTATTGCATTTCTGGATTCTTAGCCTCCTCATCAGTTGTGGAAAAACCCTTTCAACTGTTTATTTATTTGTAGCATCTATTTGAACTCCATGTGAGGAAATGGATACCTTAGTATAGAGAATTGTGTCAAAATTATCATGATTTCACGTAAAAAGGAATGATCAAAGTATAGATTCTATTTTAACATGGATTTGGTTCAATTGCTACATATTGGAAATCAGATATTAATGGATCAACCTTAACAAGTTAGAAAGTTTGATTTGGAATTTTATTTAAATTCATTTTTTTAGTCTTAATATAGACAGGTGTTTTATGAAAGCTATTTTTCTGTTTGCTCAGTTTCAAGATTTATAGGAGATCTAATTTGAAACATGGCCAAAATGCCACCACAGAAACAGTGGATGGTTTTTGCCATAAAATTTTATTACAATAATTTCCAGGCTCAAGGGCATATTATCATGTGGCAGTGTGTATGTTTTAAAATAATGTTTCAATTTTTTTTAGCCTTTAAAACTTTATGAAGAAAATCTAGGCTTTTTTTTGTTTTGAGTGGGCAGATATTCTGGTTCATTCCATTTGATGAGCCCTAGCATACATTGATAGTTACCACTGGACACTGTATTCAGAGTAGCTAGAATAGGTTTCAGCCTTTAGAGAGCTGGATTATTCAGGTGAATGTGGTTAGAGCACTCAGTGAAACCGAACATTTCACCATTGTCTATTATTATGAGTTATTTTCAAGTGAGCCTCTTATAATGCTTTTTTTTTTTTCAAAAAGAGGAAATATAATAAAAGTGGGTGAGATATTGTCATGCGAAGATACCACGTTTGACTGGAGGTGGCGGTTGGGGTTAATTTGATATCAGCTGAAATCTCCTAATGCAGCTTGGGCACTACTGATATATTTTCTAAAAATCACCAGATCACAGTGTTATAATATTCAAATCAGTAAAGATTAGAAATATATCAAATCTTGTTAAAGAAATGACCTACCAACCTTAGAAGCAAGAAAACTGAGTCTGTAACTCAAATTATGAAATAACAAGCCAACATTTCTGTGAAAGAAAGGTGGACCCTAATACAACAAGTAGAGCCTAGTAATATATTTTCTCTCTACCCTGACCTTAAATAATGTCACTGTGTTCACAACCTATGACATGATGCCATATAGCTGAAAGGATTTGTACAGAGAAAGAATCCATTCCAAAAAGGTAGAAGTAAAGCATTACTAATATAAGAAGGAAAACATATCTTAATATTCTCTAAAGTTATACAGAAAACTCATTGTGATCTAATAAAATATTTTGAAGGAAAAATTATAAAATAAAATATTAAAGAAAAAGCACCTTGCAGGAACTTTTGAATAATGTTTTGTAAAGTTAATGAACCAAAATTATAAATGATCATTATAATGATTTACCAATTTAGGATCACGTAATGGCAATTAAAGTATGTTTCTTATCAAAATGCGAGTTTAAAAAAAAGTCACATTTAGCATTTTTCATTTATTCTGATGCCATTTAAAGGGATAAAACATTGTATAGTACTCTGCATGAGTACTTACAACAGATTTTGTTATAAAATGTAATTCAGAAAAGTTTAAATTATACTTTATAGAAAAATACTATAGTAAAGGAGGATACTTTTTGTATGTAGAATATAGCATGACATGCAAAGAAAATTTTCTTTAAATCTTAAGGCAGTAATTCTTAAGCATGTTCTGAGAATGACGTGCCTGAGAATTACCTGGGAAACTTGTTAGAAATGCTGCAAATTCTTGGGATTTATGCCAGGTCTACTGAGCCTAATTCTAAGAGAATTAATTTCAGAACCTGTTTTACTGCATACAGAATTACAGATGCTTCTTAAAAATGGACAACTTTCAGTACCACTCTCTTAAATATTTTACCTACTGTATATGATTACTTGGCACTACTGACCAAAATAAAGAAAATGAGCAGTATTAGGGAACTCTGTGGAATAAAGAGAAGCTGACTATTTTCTGGTGAATTTCCACATTTAGCAGGTTATCTTATACATGATAGACATTCAACCAATATGTATATTAAATGAATGAATAAATGGAATTTTATCAATATGAAGACAAATACTATTTGGGTGCAAAATGTGAATGTTAAAACAGGAAATCACCACTAAGAATATTCAGAGGAAACTGATTTTTTTTTTAATTTTATTTTTGAGAAGGAGTTTCACTCTTGTTACCCAGGCTGGAGTGCAGTGGCGTGATCTTGGCTCACCGCAACCTCCGCCTCCTGGGTTCAGGCAATTCTCCTGCCTCAGCCTCCCGAGTAGCTGGGACAACAGGCGCGCGCCACCATGCCCAGCTAATTTTTGTATTTTTAGTAGAGACAGGGTTTCACCATGTTGACCAGGGAAACTGATTACTTAATCTACATGTGTTCAATAATATTTGGAATATGAGAAGATAAACAGATAATTTAAAGTGACAGAGGAGGTACTATTCAGGGAACAAGCTGAAGTATAACCATAAACTCTAGCAAGTCCCTGTTAATGTAAGAGGTAGAGATGAATGTGCTAGTCATTAAATTTTTTTGTTTTTTAGCAGGAAGGTTGTTCAGGGTATATGTATGGTACAGTTTCTATATTTAGGGATAAATGTATTACACTTTAAAAAATCAGGAATATAACTGTTTGTACCCTTACATATTTGCTGAAAGTAACATTACTTCTGTTTTAGCAATAAGAAAAAGGAGATACTCTTTTTCACATGTTTGTTCATTTTTCATCCATTTAGCAGGTATTTACTGATTTCCTACTATGTGCAAGAACGCTGCCTTCACATTAGTATTTCAGGACTAGCCCAGAAGGAATAACTCTCCTTCTTATCACAGATGGTCACCCACTGAAGTCAGATGCTCTGATTTGGGTCATAGTCACAGGGAGGACTTGTGAGCAAAAGACATTAGCATTTACAGCTAATTCTTTGTTGAATCGAGCTGCCACAGACTTAAAAACATGTACTCAACTGTTTACCAGCCATCATTATGAATTGCAGTGATACTTCCCTTTCCTCTTATCATATCTTTTGTTAGGGACCCCTCACTTCCCCGCTATTGTTAAGCTGGGTGTATCCACATCCTGCTTATTTTGTAATAATTTTTAGAACCTCTTTAATAAATTAATGGACTAGTCTATAACTACTGAGGCCACTACTGAGTAATTTTAACAAAGAGATTGTATAAATACACACACACCGGGGTCTCTTAATTAAAAATATGATGAGTAGATGAAGGTATTTGGAAATAGTTGAAATCAGCAAGTCATTAAAAATTATTCCGTGATACTACTAATTTGTTCATAATAGCCTTATAATTGCAGCATATAAACAAAGACAAATGTGGGTTGGATTCTATGTAAAAATATCAGTCTTGTCTTTTCTACTTAAAAGAGTTATAATTTCCACTTCTGGTGCAGTTGAAATAAGAAATAAGCTATATCCCGTGTGTTTGGTTGACAACTTTTAATGTCTAGGTTCCTTTTCTCAAAGGTGGCCTTCCTTTATAAAACGTTTGTTGTCGGTAGCCTTGTGTAGTCTAGGAGAAATCAGAGATGCAGCTGTCTTATGAATAACCAGATGGGAAATGGAAGATGATCAAACTTCTTCCTAGACCCCATGAGTCAAATAGGAATGACAAAAGATTTTCCTTTGCAACTGGGAGGAGGGTGAAACCTAATTATAAAAAGTCTTGTATACAAATGACAATAATGCCTAACAGGAGCCTCCTCCTTAAAGACAGGAAACCTGTTTTCTAAGCTTTTTCCATCACCAAAATACAGCCAGAGTCTGCTATGAGACTCAGCAGCTGTTGAACAGTGCCAGAAACTCTGATGAACGTCCATGACATTTCCTTCAACAAAGTAATATCCTCCGAAGAGCACGTTCGGAGATCGTTCACACGGACTCAGAGGGGAGAGCGCCACCTATCGTACCACGGCGGCAGTGTCCAGGGCACCTGGCCATCCTTCCAGCCTCCCTTGCACCACCCGCCAGCACATCCTGTTCTGCCCCAGATAGCTGCAGATAGTAATGTTCTGAGGTGGTCTGAAGTTCACCTAAGTGTGCTCATATCACGCTCTATAATGTGAGGAAAACACACGAATTTAAATCAGTTTTTAAAACAACCAGGCCTCTCTTCTCATTTACTAGAATGGAAAAAATTTACTTTTATTACCTCGAAGATGCCAAACAGTGCCATTTTATTACTGTGGGAAGCTGGAAGTCATTTCCGAAACCTTTTGGCAAGGGTGCTATGTAGAGCATCCAGTTCAGTCCTTTAAGTGTCTTCTGAGAACCACCACACAGACTGTGATTTACTGTCTTCAGGAGTTAAAGGGACCCTTTCTACCCTGAAACTGAAGAAAGAAAGGTGAACTGTGTTTACCAAGCATCCCAATGAGACCTGCAAGAATATGAGACAGCATAGAGAGGGGAGCCAGAGGTAAAGAATGTTTTGGTAACCCACATTTTCCAGTATCTACTTTTGCATTTGCTTTAAAAGATTATGTTGGCAGCCTTTAACAGTTGTGATGATTTTTGTATATTGATCAATTGGTCTTTAGGCAACTTTTGCAGACAGCTACACAAAAGGGGGACTCCTTTTCCTTCTTCCTCTTTGATGTTTGCATCTTAAGTAGGTTTTGGTACACTTCCACAGTGAATGCAGTGTCATAGGCTAAATATGTATGTGTATACGTATGTGTGTACATATATACATAGATAATAGACCACTGTGAAAAATAATTACATAGTCTGTCACATCAAAAATGAGAAGCTGTCTGATAGTATAAAAGGAAATCTAGCTGGGCGTGGTGGCTCACACCTGTAATCCAAGCACTTTGGAGGCCAAGGCGGGCGGATCACCTGAGGTCAGGAGTTCAAGATCAGCCGGACCAACACGGTGAAATCCCGTCTATTAAAAAAAAAAAAAAAAAAAAAAAAAAAAAAGAGGAAATCTAGTAAACTCCTTTACTTGACAAAAATCATTGAACTATTGACCTCAAGTAGAAAGACCAATCTTTAATTGCCTTTACAGTTTTAAACTCCGGTAAGCAAACATCAAAGCAACTCTCGGAGCAGGACATGACATTTTTTTCTTGTAAACAACTCCACATCTTTCATGGAGCAATGTCTCTAGCAATTACATCCTTAATAGAATATTGTATTTATAAACTATATCATAAAGGCATCCTATGGTAGCCTACAGTTTCCATGTCTTTTTTTTTTAAAGTGAAATTAATGTTTTCTTACAATATTTTGTTTTTTTTTTTTTTTTTTTTGAGGGCGGGGTTTCGCTCTCGTTACCCAGGCTGGAGTGCAATGGCGTGGTCTCGGCTCACCACAGCCTCTGCCTCCTGGGTTCAGGCAATTCTCCTGCCTCAGCCTCCTGAGTAGCTGGGATTACAGGCACGCGCCACCATGCCAAGCTGATTTTTTGTATTTTTAGTAGAGACGGGGTTTCACCATGTTGACCAGGATGGTCTCGATCTCTTGACCTTGTGATCCACCCGCCTTGGCCTCCCAAAGTGCTGGGATTACAGGCCTGAGCCACCGCGCCCAGCCCTATTTTGGTTATTGATGACAAAAACATTCTTTTATCCTGCTCTACCTATTAAGTAAATATAACACAACACTTGGAGTGGATGAATTTATTACAATATTGGAAACGTTATGTGGTCTGTTTCTTTTTAGGGCCAGGATTATATATCTGTTCTGAAGTATAAGATTCACACTTGACAGTAGGCTTAGGATTTTATGCTGCTTCCATTGCTAAATCTAGTAGCAGTATTAGAGGCCAAACCTTCAAGCAGCGCCTGCTAGACAAATGGCTAAGGGGAGTGGAGGGCTACATCCAGGGAGCCAGGAATGCAGTGCATTCAGCGCAGGAACTCAAAGGTAGCTAGAGGAATAAAAGTCCCCTTTACTTAAAAGAAGTGAAATCTAGCCAAAAACTTTGATAAATACATAATAAAAAGGTAGAGAAAACATCTGAGAGCAAATTTATCACTAGCTTGCTGAGTCATCATTAATGGCCATTAAAAGAAAACAATAGAAAAAAGAACAGTAATTAAAGATAAGGTAGAAAAACAACTGAATTTTTTTTAATAAACTCATCTTCTTAGAAATACACCCAGGAAACTTTGTCTGTTTAAAACTGGCACACACATACTGACTCATTCGTTTGCTATATGTATATCATTTTTTCTTTTATATTTCCATCCATCCATCCATCTTTTCATACATTAATAAATCTATCCATCCTTCATCCAATTATCCATCTATTGCAACCAAGTATTTATAAATTATTTTCTTTTTTCAGCCACTTGTAAATCCAACCTGTTTTAGGTGGCTGCCCTATAATATGTAATATTACTAGTGATAGACATAGAAGATGGAGTCTCTTCTCCCAGGGAGCTTAGAGTCCAAGTGGAGAGAAAGTTAAGTATAGTATTACTACACCATGTGAAAGATGATATGATAGCACTACACTATGAAGATAGAAAGCCTTCTGAGTTAGAGAGGTGGATCTGGGAAGGCCAACAGTAAAGCTGAACTGTAAGAAAAGATGGTGAAGAGGAAAGATAATTCTAGATAAAAAGCATGGTATATGAAAAATGCGTCCTTAATTATTGGTATTCATTTATAGTCACAAAATCATTTAACAAAACTCCACTCCTTAAAACACAACATGGGCAGGGTGTGGTGGCTCACACCTGTATTCCCAATAGTTTGGGAGGCCAGGGTGGTTACATGACCTGAGGTCAGGAGTTCCAGACTAGCCTGGGCAACATGGTGCAACCCTGTCTCTACTAAAAAGATGGAAAATCAGCTGGGCACGGTGGCGTATGCCTGTGATCCCAGCTACTCAGGAGGCTGAGGCAGGAGAATTGCTTGAGCACAGGAGGCAGAGGTTGTAGTGAGCTGAGATCGCGCCATCGCACTCCAGCCGGAATGAAAAAGCGAGACTACAATTGAGAAACCAACAAACACAAAAAACACAACATTATATAATGATTCCATTAATAATAACTCATGGAGGCAATAAAGCTTGGTGGTTACATGTATTGCCTTTGGAACCAGATTTCCTAGGCTTGATTCCTGGCTCTTACTCTGTCTACCTGATAACCTAAGGGAAATTACTCAACTTTTTCTGCCTCAGTTTCCCTTTCTTCAACTGGGAACAGTAACTATTATCTTACAGTGAGTATTATGTGAATTTATGCATGAAAAACTTACATATATTTGGCAGAAATAATTTCTCAATATGTGTTAGGATAATATTTTTCCCTTGGTTAAAATGATCTTACTGATGATATTTTTTTAAGAGATGTGTGAGAGTTATCAGAATCTGAGACTTACTACATTCAGAAACCAAAGAGGCTTCACTTTTCTTAAAACTTTAAAACTGTTTCCACAAATGAGAAAAACCTCTGGAAATGCACTCAGATTTCGGAGTGCAAATTCTGTCTCTGCTTCCTTCTAACTTTGAGGTCTTTAGCAAGTTGTTCAATGCCTGTGCCTCAGTTTCTCATCACAAACAAATGCAGATGCTAATGACACCAGTATCTCCCTCATGAGTCTGCTGGGAGAATTAAATGCTGCTGGGATGATGTGTAAATGTGACTGACATCACCCAAAGCTTTGTTTCATCATCAGCAAAAAAAAACAACAACAACAACAACAAAAAAAACCCTCCTTTAAAATGCTATAGTGGCTAATCTAAGGCTTGTGAAAAATATCTTTCCCAAAATGCTTTCTATAGTTTGAGAGATGACATATAAATATTCTCATCTGCATTTGCCAACTCTGGAAAACACTCCTGAATGCTATTGCTGACTTTGATACGCTGCCTTTGCATCTTTGCCAGAACTTGCTCTGGTTTGCAGCTATTCATAGAATGCCCTTGGATAATGTGATAGGTTGAATTTGAATTACTCCTCCAATCATTTTGGAGCCAGTAATAATGGCAACTAAAATGGTCATCTGGAGAATGAACTAAGCATGGACATTTTCCAATACAATCTCTTTCTAATTTTTGTCCTTAAAATAACTCAAAAGAAGATAATATGCTGTTTGAGTCAGTAAGCCTTAAACACGCTAACATAAAATTAATTTTCTGTATATACTTAATAGATGCTTTAAAAGACCACCACTCTCAGATGGAATAAAAATGCAAAGTGACTTTTAAAAACTCACAAATTATAGCAAAACAGATATTGCACTAGATCTTTTCTCTTTTCCTGGAATCATTTTTAATTGCAATTGTTTGAGGGCTGAGCACCAAGCCATTCAGAGCACTACGTACAGATCGGCTTTAAATACATTCAGCATATCATCACGTTGCTAATACGATACAAATCTTTGGTCTCTCAAACGTCTCTGCTTTCCTCCCACATATCAACGACCTAATACTGTTACATCTACGGCTAGGGCTTGTTAGTCTGCCTGAAGGAGTATAGAAGTTCCAGGCTGGCATAGCTTCTATTTTATTAAAATTTTTTTCTTGCCTGCAACCTGATTTCTTCTGGTCTGACCTAATTCCTTTGATGCCTGGGGCTTGGAGGCCGGTACTAATCTGCATCATGGATGTGTGGAGGAAAGGTAAGACAATTCAAAGAAAAGTGAAAGAAGGAAAGAATGGTACCTGGGTGCAAATGCTCTTTAAAACCAAAATAAGCATTTTGAAAGCAGGACACTTTTGTTTTAGTGCATCCTTTAAGGAAGAACGTAAATTCAATGCATGACCTAATACAAATTTCCCTTCTCTCTTAACTCTTTTCTTTTTAAAGGTATATAGTAAACCATTGTAAAACTATGACAAAAAAAAGAACAGCAGAATGCTAATTGTAGCATCATATGATAAATTCCAGGGTAAGAAAAATATCTGTTTATGAAAACTAAGTCATGCTCTAGATGTCATAATGATAGAAAAGGTTTGCGCTGACTTTCATGTAGAGATCGTGTGACAGTCTAAGCTTTGTTACTAAGCTTTGGAACGTGCTGATATTCAGCGTTTCTTAGACCTGCCCACTAACTTATTGTTTCTCTGGGTCTGTTCCCAGTTTCTTTTTCCCTTTGGGAAGCAGGTTCTTCTTACCGCTCAAATATGCGTCCAACATCTTGTAATCATTAATATACCAAAGGCAGGGGCAAAGGGGGCATATTTTCAAAGTGTCTCTGCTCTCTTGATTTTGGATTACTATGAATCCTGGAGAAGTGGGAAGGTGAAATTTATCCTTTCTTGCTAACAAATTGCATGCCTTTTTTGAGATGTTAAAAAGTTGTAATTTTTTTTGCATGGATTTACAAGAAATGGGGAGGGTGTCCATTTGTGATTTGATTAATAGAGCTTCAC